TATATCTACTCCTGACAATCCCAAAGAGCATACACACCTCAGTGGCATTTATGGGACTACTTTTGTGGACCATCAATTTTTACAGCACTTACTTTGTTAAGCACTTACATGTGGTAAGTCAGCACTGGAGACTCAACAGTGAGCAAGAAAGAAGGGTACCAAGCAACACAAGGTGTAAAATCTGGCACAGAAGATAGGCAATTAAACAAACAATATTATGAATAAAGTGTAAATAGCCTGATGACAGAAGCGCAGACTGTAAGAGAAACACGCAGGAAAAACCACAAATCTACAGAGGGCAATCAGAGACTTCACAGGGGAAGCAATCGTCACACTGAAGCACAAAGTCAGCACCCTCCCATGCTGGGCTCTGTGACTGCCAGTCCTGGGAGCTGAGTCTTGACGGTGTAACAATGAACTGCATCATAGTTTCTGCAGGTTACCCAAAAGTGCTGGCCCTTTAACAGCCAAGGCCAGTTTCTCTAGCGAGTAAGCATTCCTCAATTCTGGAAATACTTAAAATTAAACTTAGAAATATGTAAGAAACCAAAATTATCATAAAAATATTTCTATGCTAAGAAGAAGACAAGTTATTTTATGATTTTGTAACATTTAAAATAATTTGGCTAATTAACTGATAGCCTCAATTTCAAAAGTTTAATTGAATAATTTATTTTTCACTTATGATATTAAGTTGAAAATATTAATATTTTTATATACCTTGTAGAACTATTTCAAGGTTTATTAGTAAGTTTTAATATATGAGATACATAGGACCTTTTTACTGAACTTCAATGGGTTTTATTATTAAGTTAGATAACTAAAGTTCTTTTAAAAGCAAACACAATAAATGCAATCTGAAACGTTAAAGGTTTTCAATTAATACATCTGTGTGTTATATCAAAGGCCCTTAATGACTGTTAAAATCTCCTGTCTTATAGAGTAATCGCTATAAGTATTATGAAAGAATACTTTGACTGTGAAGATAAAAAAAGTCATAACGTTTTTAAAACTAAACAAACCCCCGAATAGTGCTTTCTATTTCTAAAATAGAAAGGGCAATTAAAAAAAACAAAAACAAAAACACCCTATCTATGTCTTTCTGATTCCAGGTCTTATTTTCTGTTAGGGCTATCGAATAGGATTACTCCCTTCAGTTTATTTTATTTTTATTTTTTAAAAAAGATTTATTTATGCATATAGAACTGGGGTACAGGCCAGAGGTGCAGGAATGGTAAGAGGATTCACCAGAGACAGAGTGGGGAGTAGAACAGGTAGATCAACAAAGTACACTGAGATCAACAAAGTACTGCTGAGGGGAGCAGCAGTAGCGTCAGGAGAGGTCTGCCGTGCCATGTGGGTCAGCTTCCTGGCCCGAGATGGAACTTGAGGTGAAGATGAGAGCTTCATGGTGCTGGGTTTTAACCCTTTGCAGCACCAGGGAGGGCCCCATTTTATTTTAATAGAAGTCACTGAAATGTTTGTTTTTGTAATGACATATTTCTCTATATTTATTGTTTGTACGAACATTTGACTTATTTGACACCTTATTCTAAAGTTCTAAGCAGTTCACAGATACTTCTTCATCCTCCTAATAATGCTAGAATTAAGTATATGATTCTTCCTTGACTGGAGAGGAAAAGTTATGCTCAAAGTCAGGATTCTTCAGGGTTAAGAATGGTAGACATGGTTTAATTTCAAGTATTCCCCTCAAGACATGAAGTAGGTAAGGCTCTGATGTTCTCATGACAGTTTTCATGTCACAAGCACTTCATTCCTACATCTCTATTCTCCTTTTACCTACTGACGGTTGGCACGTCACTTCTAGGAAGCAAAATGTAGACAAAGTACCCCAAGTCTTTCCCTACTTCTTCACAAGACTTCCTATTGTAACCATCCAGTTTCCTACATCTTAGCTGCACTTAAAAATCCAAGGACAATTCAACCACAACACTCAGAAACAAAACAGCAGTAACAACAAATACCAGTTTTCCAGAGACAAATGCCAAATCCAAATGGGCCCTACAAAGGCAGACCTGACCCCCCCAAAACCAAGTAGGAAGTCTGTGAACTTTTTCTTTTTCCATGTTCCAAAACTAACAATCTACTACAAGTCTCCCAACAATATGTCCGAATCCACAGCTGTCAGGGTAATTCTCCCAAACTTCTGTCACTTTTACCTTAGGTATCTTACAACCTACAATGAGGCAACTAGGTCTAAATCAAATTATGTAGATGTGGTGCACCCACTGTCCCTACCACAGTTACCTGAACAAACCAACCTTTGGGATCCTCTAGAAAGAACCAGACAAATGTTCTAGTGCTGTCAAATGTGTATGTGTGTGTGTATGTATTTGTCAAAAAAGACATGTTTTCTCTTTGAAAAACATATCAAAAAATGCATCACGACTTGTCTGACAACCCAATAATCTGCCCTGGGTTCTTGCCACAGTGCTCCTGAAACCCTTGAAATGCCCCGAGTAATAAGAACACTATGATCATCCTTTATTTTAATGTTTGTGGTTTCTGGCCCAAGTTCCTGACATAGAACTCTTGAACTTCATCCAATTTTCTGGTAATATCTTTTGTTCTAATGAGGCAGCTCTTGGTGGTCTCATGGATGGCTTCTGAATGGAGGCTGGCCACTAGAAGACAAAGCCATGATTATAAGCTTGGAATTTTCAGTCTGACCTTTCATTTTCTTGAGAAGGAAGAAGGGTAGGAAAAAGAGTTAATGATCAATCAAGTCATGTATCTGGTATACACATGATCAATATGGAAGTGTCCATAAAAAATCTCAACAGAATAGGGTGTGGAGAGCTTCCAGGCTGGCAAACACATCTTTACAAGATAGGTAGTGGCTACACCCCAACTTCACAGGGCCAGAAACTTCTGTACTTGGGACTCTCACAGACTTTGCCCTATTTGTCTATTTATCTTATTTACTATGTATCTTCAGCAGGCTGTTCATCTGTATCCTTTATCATTAACTTAAATAAACTGGTGAGCATCAATAAATGTTTCCCTAAATTAAATGAATTGCTCTAGCAAATTAATGGAACCCAAGGAAAGGGTCATCATAACCTCTCACCTATAGCTGGTTGGCTGGAGCACAGTGGTAACTTGGACTTGTGACTGGCATCTGAATAAGGAAGAGTGGGAGGCAGTCTTGTGGGACTGAACCTTTACCCTGCGGGCTCTGCCACTCTCTCCAAGTGGACTGGAACTGAGTTCCAAGTGGATTGTAGGACACTGAGCTGATGCTACAAGAACTGTTTATTGTGGGGAAAACCTTTACCCATCTGGCAAACAGTGTCAGAAGTGAAGTGTGCTGAGTCAAAGTAAAGGACACATACATATAGGGAGGAACTGCTACATAAGAAAGAAAAAAACAGAGTTTTTCCCTGAAGTGTCCTTAAGTCTAAGAAGACAAAGTATAGAATCACATTTGTCCCTCAAGAACAGTCTATACTCTGTACACTTCTCACTATCCCAGGTCTACAAAGAAAATGGGATACCCATTCTTATTACTGTAAGAATGCTTTCTCACATCCTTTCTTTCAATATTTATCATTTCTGTCCCTGATTATTTTCATTTAAGGCATCTCTTCAGGGCTTTTATTGTTCCATCCAATGTTCCATTTGTTACAGAAGGATATATTAATCACTTTCGCTTTACCTACCTATACAGTAGGCACAGGAAGAGAAGATTTAAAACAGGAAACATAATTCTTGTCTTCAGAGGTCACAATCTAGTTATGGATACCAGGTACATGATAAAATGAGAGTGACACAAGCAGCTTAAATTTGTAGGAATTTAGAAGGGAAAGAATTCATTCAGTAAGAACAGTCTAAGAGTGGCCTCCCTGGTAGGACAAGGGTTAAAGTTTCAGTGCTATCAAGCAACTGCTAGTCACTGTGACATGAGCTTGATCCCTGTCCAGAGAGCTGACCCACGTGGCACAGCAGACCTCTTCTGTCTCACTTGCTGCTCCCCTCAGTGGTGTATTTCAGTAGATCTGCCTGTTCTGCCTCCTTTCCCCTCTCTGTCTCTGGTGAATTCTCTCACTCTCTGCACCTCTGGCCCACACCCTAGTAAAGACTGGACCCAAAAGAAAAATGGATTCAGCCTTGTTCTAAGTGCTATTTTGTGTACTTAGAATCAGACTTAAATTCACTCTGGAATTAGGAAATGGATCTAAACAGCACTATCGATGTGGCCAAGATAAATAGATGGGGATGATAAAACTTACACCACTGAGTTTGGAGTCCTACATGAGTAACACAAGCTGATTCAAGCGTGGTGTCATCAAAAGCCTGTGGAAAAACATTAGTTCCTTCCTCCTGGTTTTGAATTACAACCTATACCAGACTACAAGCTCTCAAAGTAAAGGAATTAAGAGTCCAAAACTTAACTTCTTCTAGTTGTTTATTCCAGTGCATCTATCAAGAGATACAGAGTATAGCCCAGGAGCACAAGACATGTATATTGAACATTATGTGACTGAATTAAAAAGAAAATACCATTATCTCTCAAGCTGCACCATTAACCACTTTTGGCTAACGAAATTGTTGCTTTGGCCACTGTTGTATGGCTAGGAGCCAGGAAGCACAGAACAGGGCTCCTTCCTCCTCATCCAAAGGTTAATGAGAATGAGCCATTTACACCAGTACAGCTTGTTCCACTCCTTTCTTAGAGTGGATGAACTATTTAATTTTTGCTCTCCTGCCACAGGTAACAGAAGTATGACTGGAAGAAATCCATGCAAAGTCACAGAGGAACATCTGGTATACACAGTAACTACTACAAGCCCTCTTTCTGCAGAGTGCCTGGAGAACATTACTGATCACCCTTTAATCAGAAAGGCACATGTTAACTACTAAGTGCCACCTTTCTGTGATCATAAGCACTTTTGTTCAGTGAGTGCCAATAAATGAAGAGCCACACAGACAAGGTAGGGCCACAATAACAAGGCAGAGTGGTGCCCGTCTCTGCATACCTCCTCACAGACTTCACGGACGGCTGCCACACTCGGCTCCTCCTCGGGCTCCATGCCTCCTCCAGGGACAATCCATCGGTCAGGGTGGCGACTACTGCTCACAAGTAGCACCTGAAAGTCACAGAGGTTATGTAGGTGGTGGAAAACTCAAAAAGACACACATGTACAAGTTCAGATTTTAAACACCATGAAGTACCTAAGACCTGTTTGTTGTTTACACCTCTCTGAATAATTTCTTGTAGAGTAGCTTTCATTTCTGTTTGAAGTAGCAACCTGCTAATAAACGTAAAAAGGCCTCTGAAGCAGAAGCCATCACATCTACCCCACCCTTAGACTCTCAGTCACTTGTTCTGTCAGTCCCCCTCCTTCTAAAGCCCCTCTGAACACAAAGCTGACAAGGGCTAAAAAAAAAAAAAAAAACAAAAAACCATCACTGGTGAGCCTGTAAATGTCAGGAAGAAAGAAGTCCTTAACCCTGTTGGCACCAAAGTCCCTATGAGGCCTTTGAAGTCCTCACTCTCATGAATCCCTGCTCCATCAGAAGGCCGTGCCAATACCACATACCACCCTAATCCTCAAGTGTGCACTGAGAACTTCACTCCCTCTCTCTAGTGGGAAACAGAGGCATTTTGCATCATGTTTTAGGCTACAATTGTATTTTTTTTCACTAGGGAACTTTATTAAGAAGCGAAAAGAACACCCAGCAAATACACAGAGCACTGATATAGCAAAGACTTTACTAATGCAAACTTAATCAACATTCCAATCATTTTCTTTAGGAGATGCTAAAAAAAATAGCTAGCTGGATTCCTTATTTAAAGGTAGAGTTGGGTTGGCATTATTTTCAAAACCAAAAGAATCTTCAACTGCTCCCTAAAACTACCACTTTCTGTCTTGGAGCCTCCAGTTCTTATCTAAACCATTTTCCCCTTGAGGACTACTTTATTGTCAATCATCCTTGACGCTGAAAAGAAAATGTTAAGTCTTTCCCCACCATTACAGATTCTGCTACGGACTTATGGCTACCTATCTTCCAAGCCTCTTCCCCTGAGGTTTCTGCAGTTACCGACTCTTGAAATTCTCTTTATCTTTCATCCTTAACACTTTCCTTTTCTTATGATAGATTCTCCTGATGCTCATCTGCAAAATCTGTGACCTACAAGCTCAAAGGGGACTCAGAAAGACATTCAGGTATCCCTACACTGTTACCCACATACAAATAATGTTGCATACAAATACTGTTTTCAAAATGTATGTCAGTTTTATTTTGATTAATATAATGCAGAATACTTTAAAATAATATGAGATCCACAGTAGTTTTTGGCTGGTGTGTTTATATGTATAATCAAGAAATATTAACAAGTACAATGTGGAAGGCTCCATGAAATTTTGCTAAATGAGAATCCTCACTAGATTCCTTCCTCACATCATCTACAAAAATAAACTCAAAAAGAGCCAACAACCTAAATGTAAGGCCTTAAAATATTAAAAGGAGAAATCTTCATGACCTTGGATTTGAAAAGGTATGCTGAATTCTCAAACATAACACCCGAAGATGAACAACAAAAGAAAAAACATAAAATGGACTTCATCAAAATCTTAAAACTGGTAATGCACATTATTAAGCATGTGAAAAGTCAACCAGCAGAATGGAAGGAAATATATGCAAATGAATTTGGGAAGGGTCTGGTATCCAAAATATTTAAAGAGTTCCTATACTCAACAAAAGAAGGCAAGAGAAATAACAAGCACACACAAAGAAAGGTGTTCACCAGCATTAGTCATTAGAGAAGCACAGAGTAAAGCCACAGTGAGTTACCATTTCATACCCACTGGCTTCAAAAATAACAAGTACTAGCTAGCAAGGACGTGGAGAAACTGGAACCTTGGTACACTGCCGGTAGGAATGGAAAATAGTTCAGGTATTAGGGACCGCGGCTTGTGGTCCCTCAAAAAATTAAACAAAAATGATCTTTATGAAAAAACAAAAAACAAACTACCGTATCACCTAGTAACCCCACAGTGGGACATGGGGTATTCAGATAAGCCAACGGACTGCACGGGGGTACTCAAACACATGCAAATGCATAGAGTAGTATAATTCATAACAGTCAAAAAATAGAAAACAACTTACTGTCCATCCCTATGAATGGATACATAAAATGTGGCAAATATATACAAGGAATGTTCTTCAGTCATAAAATAGAATGAAGTACTGATACATACAACCCATAGGTGAACTTTGAAAACATCATGCAAAGTGAAAGGTCACATGAATATGATCTGAGGTGGTTAAACTTGTGATTTTTCTTTAACTTCAAAATGGTACAAGAACAATATAGTAGAAGCCACACTTCTGGTTTTGAATTTTGATCTTTTCCTGGGCCCACAACACGCAGTTCCATCTTTCTCATGATGCTGGGCAGTGGCAGCTAGCGACAGCTCCCAGTCAGCCACAGCACCCCATAGGATGAGAGGGTAAGCTACAGACACCCTGTAGTGGGCTGTGCTGCCAGCTTCTTTCCAGCCTGTGGTGTTTTTGTCTTTTTTTTTTTTGGTGCATCTCATCATTATCTACAAAGTGGCCACCTGTGCCGGAGATATTCATTCAACACTATTTTAAAATACTTTTGTTAAACAATTTTACCCAACTGAAGACTAAGCTACACTTAAGGTACAACATTCAAACACATTGTCAATTTACAATAATTTCCATTTAGGATGGGCTTATTAGGAGGTAATAGCTATAAGCTAAGGAAGATCTGCATATGAAATATGCAGAATAGATCAATTTAGAGACAGGACATAAAACGGGTGCTTGCCAGAGACCCTGGGAAGAAAGGGCATAAGACGGAGTAACTACTTAGTGGATACAGGGTTTTATTTTAGTTTGAAATTAGAAAGATGTATTGGTTACTAAATGCCACTAACTTGTTCACTATAAAATGGTTAATGTTATGTTATGTGAAATAAATGAAATAAAACCGGTTTTAAGATTAAAAGCTGAAGAAGTCAGTGTCACTACTTTTTTCCTCAGTCTATACCCAGGGAAGCAGTCTTCAAAAGGTTCCAAAACTAACCAGTTTTATAAATTTAAATTATAAACCTAAATACATAATTTCCATAAAAGGAAAAAGAATCATTGTCACACCTGTTCTCAATAGTAGTTGTGATCAATCTTTTATTTTTAAATATTACCCATCAAAAGAAAAAAAAAATCCAAGTACTATGTTTTGTTTACTCAAGGTATAGTTTTTAAGTTCTCTTGAATCACTGGTCTATGGCATTTAATCTCTAATCTGCAAGGCGGGTTCAAGAAAAAAATAAACAAACAGAAAAATTGGTTAATCCTTGAATGGTGACAGAAATAACAGCATGTAATTTTTCCTTCCTAGAGTTTTCACACTTCCTGGCAAGGCCATTCAAAACCTATATTTACCTCCAAGACTGACGTGGGCCACCTAGTGAAGTTACTGCCTCAGACCCAAATCTCAATGGTGATGCTGAAAATTTTTTCTCACATAAATACATGCTAATAACATTCCCAGATCAAAAACCAACCAACCAACATTATCAACAAAAAAATGACTATACCAAATTATACCAAATAGGAGAGTTCTACTTTCTGATGCTGGGGGAAACCTTGAACCCAATCTGAATTTTAGAAAAATTAATTCTACTTGGATTGGAGATGGACAAGCCTGGTAACAGAATGAGTTTCTGTTGAGAAAGAGCAAGGATGGAAGTGAGAACTGGAAGGAAGAGACAGGTTTCTAGATGCACAGGACTAGGTGACTGACAGGCTGGTCACTGGTGGGGCAGCCCGGAAGGAGAAGGTGGAGGGCGAGTAGAGGAGGTAATCATGAGTCATCCTCTGAACATTTGGATTTGAGAGTTTAATGAGATATCTGATGAGTATTTCTAGAAGACAATCATAGACATATGGGGCTTGACCTAAGAAGAGGGAACGAAACTGAGATGAAGAAAAGGTGGTCTCACGCTCTCTTGGCCAGGATGAGATGAATATGAGGAAAAATGTGTGCTTTTTGCAAAAGCTCTAACGTAGAGGAACCATCCCTGTTCCTCCACCTGCCCATCCTCTTCTCTGGTGCCAGGCAAGTCTCCATTCTCACTTCTGAAAGTATAGTGAGGACAGATATATTCCCAGTATCAGAGGTTAAGTTTCTGGAAAATTTTTCCTTAAAAACTAAAGCTGGCCCCCCGATTGGTACAATGGGTTGGAGCACAGCACTATGAAGCGATCCGCTGCGGCATAACTTTGATCCCCAGGCAGGCGCAGCAGATCTCTCCTGACCCGCCCACTGCCCCCTCAGCAGTGTCTTTCAGTTGATTGGCCTGTTCTGTTCCCCGCTCTGTCTCTGGTGAATCCTCTCACCCACCACCCTGCCACCTCTGACCTGTACTTGTATGCATAAATAAATAAATCTTAAAAAACAAAAAAACTAAAGCTATAATGATAATCTACATCATGGGAAATTCTGGTTAGCAAGTTATATATCCTAAGACATACTACAAATTTCCAGAAAATTTATGCAGTACTGCACCTAACATGATCTCATTTCCAACAATACAAAGCTCCCAGCACTGAAAAGCCCTCAGCAATGCCAATACTGATAGAGGGCTCTGCTGATATTCTATCAATAGATAGCACAGCTCTGTACCTTCTCAAGTATGTGACAGGCCCAGCAAACTGCTTCCACAGACAAGCCCTTTCTATTTGTTTATTTGTCCCTTAGAAATAAGACCAATTTGCCTCTTCTGGGTATAGTGTCTAGAGGCATTCAGAATGGCTCAGCATTTCATATACTGCCATAGACTATCCTATAATACAGCCTCTGACACAATAAGCCTGTCTCACCCTGAATTGTTTACCTTTACATCAAGAAAATTGGGAAAGCACCAAAATCTGCATGTGGCAGGTGCCCAGGAGTTCCTGCTGTGAGACCAAAGCTCTTAGGAGGTTATCAGAAGTGAAGAAATTTGTAGGCTGGGCTTAAGATGCCTCAAGTGTTTTAAATGGGTCCAGGACAGAATCAAGTGTGTTTTCCTCACTGAAAATCATCGTTAAAGTGTTGAAGTTACAAATACAG